GGAAGTAGACGCTTCAGCTGGGGTTCGGGAGGAAATGTACCCAGGCCATTCCTGCCATAGCCCCTGCAGAACAAGTTTTGGGGGCAAAGCACAAACTTTTCTATTTTCTCTTCTGTTGGGGCCTCATTGTTCTCAGAATCAGAAGTTCAGGAGAGCAAAGTCTTTTGATACTATACCTTAGACCAGCATGAGACTCAAAGGGTTCAACGTCTCTTACATAAACACCCGTGCTCCCAGAGCTCTGTGACCTCTTACAGAGAAACCCCCTAGGCTCAGAAACGCTGACCTGCCTGAGGCCTCACAGTTGACAGTCCTTAGACTGGAGTCCAGGTTTCCTGGCTCCTGTGCCAGTGTTCTTTCCATGTGATACTGCCTTTGTGTGATTTTTTTTAAGTTCTGCTTCAGCCTTGCAGGGCTAGGATGGGTGGAAAAGATATTCTTCTTCGTTGAGCTGGAAAACTGAATAACAAATTAACAGAGGAAAACTGGCACTGGAAGGCACGTCTTCTTGTCTGCCAGAATCTGTGTTTTAGATTAAAAACAATCTGAAGATGGGGGTGGGCAGCTCCAAGAGGGGAGCAGGATAGTGTGGGTGGGGGAACAAGGGCCAGGAAAACCAGAAACAGGCTTCAGGGCACCTGCTCATTTTTTGAACAGAAAGTCACAACTTCCTCTGCCTTGGTTTCCTCTTCTAAAAGTCTTGGAAGGGACTGGAGAGATGGCGGATGAAGTGGAGTTATTGTTCAGCGGCTACAGTTTCAGTTTGGGATGATGAAACAGTTCTGAAAATGAATAATGGTGATGGCTGCACAACACTGTGAAAGCACTTAATGCCACTTAAAACAGGTAAAAATGGTAAATTTTATATCATGTATATTTCACCACAATAAAAAAACAAACAAATGAAGGGGACAGTGTTAACTAAAGGTTTCCAAGATTCCATCAACTCCGAAAGTCTATGATTCTTACCCTAGTTGGAAATTTCTTTTCAAATTAGCTTCACCTTTCCATGTGCTTTCTCTCCCACAGGATCCCAACCCAGTTCTTACACAGCAAGCACCAACACCCACCCCCTGGAGTTAAATGTCTCATGGTTGGCATTATCACCGCATGTAGCCTGTGTTAGGCTACATGGATGGCCCTGTGTCAAATGGCTAGCTAGGGCAGAGATGCGATCTTTTTAGAATCATGACAACCTCTTACTCTGATGGACTGACCATCTCTGTTAAAAGTGGTATTGGCATTAAAAAATATTAATATGCATTTAATTAACTGGACTTGACATAAACGCTAGGCTGAAGACTGAGGCCCAAGTTTGGGAGGCTGGGTCAGGCCTTCCTACGCCAGTATCCGCTGCAGGCAAGCAGTGATGCCGAGGTTGGAGGACGGGTGCCAAAGTCCAAGCATCGAGTCTTCAGACAACTTTTCAAAGATGGCAGGGATGTGGGAACCCGTGTAGCCTGGGTCCTGGGAGAAATCCAGTACAGCTCAGAAAAACTGTGTGTGTTAGCTGAGGGCGGAGGCTAAGCCTCGTCTTCAGCCCTGCCTCCCGCCTGGGTATCAGTGCAGACACTGGGCAGGACAGTGTAAGGAGCTGGCAGGTGGGTATGTGGTGCCCAGCACACCATCCGGCACACACACCGGCCTGCCTTGTCAACAAAAGACAATTGGCAGTCTAAGCTCTACTGGGAAAAATGAAGTAACAGTCACTTGTTCCCAAGACAGCCTCGTGTTTAATTTTCAGCCTGATTTGACTCTTCTTCCATGCACAGACATTTCTCTCATTTATAATATCCCCCTCCATTGCCACTCCCAAGGTGTAATAAGTGCAGGGTAAAGAACAAGACTAAACTATGAACAGATCTAGTCATTTTTAGAATGGTCCCCTCTGAGGTGTGCTCATGGATCAGCAGGAGAGAAGGGGGCTGTGAACTGTGAGGGGATCGCATAGAGCCAGAGCCAATCCAGCAGGGGCTGGTGGTGTGGCTTGTGGTCCTGGGAGTGGGATGGGAGGTTATACTTGAGAACACTCATGAGCATGTCTCTATAGGGGAAGAAAAAGGATGTACACATCAGAGCAGAACTGCCTCCTTTTACAAAACTGGGTGTTCTCAGAAAGCTTTGAAAATCAGATTCCTAGGATTCAAGGTGCTTTATTTTCCTCTTACTAGCTTTCAGGGATGTGCCTATATGTCTCCCTAAAATTGTATGTTAGGACATATGCCAGCCCCGAGGGTAGCAATCAGCTAATGTGTAAGCAAAGACCCCAGAAAACTGCTCCTTGAAGGAACACTTCAACCCACTAATTGAGAATAAATAAAGAATGCTCTGGAAATTATATTTGTGCAGAGGCAGAAGATAAGAGCCTATACATGACTAGGCTTGGAATCAACATGCTGGCATCAGGTCAAGGGTGGGCAGTCAGCAGGGCAGGACTTAGCATTTAGAGATCTAACATTGAGCAGTGCATGGGGTGTGTGGAGCGGATGTCAGCTGGGACGGCTCAAGCCCAGTGGATCTTAGCAGAGGTCATAGGAATTACATACAGCTCAACTCAGCTCAGCAGGGCACAGGGACACGCTCCCAATGAGACCACACCTATTACAGTCATTAGGTGCAAAAGCCTGGGGCCAGACTGGGCCTGGAAATGATGCCCAAAGATATCACTTTAACAGCAAGAGTCCTTTATGAGGTGGACAGCCCACATATTTCTCAAACCGGGTCTTTAAGATATAGCTCTTTTCAGTAGGCACCCCCAAGCCATTTTCTTCTGCAAGGGACATTGCAATAAAGTGCTACCTATACCTATCCCTTGAGAAAATTCTCAACTCATATTGAATAGGTTAACTTTGTATATCTTATTTGTCATCTGTGTCTGAAAACGCTAGCAGTGCCATGATGCCTGCTTTCTCTCAGCACCCGCTTCTGTGCTCAGAGTTAATTTCAACATAGCAACACAGTTTAGAAGAGCCCGATGATTCCTACAAGGATCCATATGAATGTACAAGGGCTGCAGGCACTTCTACTACAGAAAACTTGATTAACCAGAATATTTGCAGCTTCCAACTCCTTCAAGAGTTCCAGTTCTGCCTCAACTGTTACATCTGAAAACTTTTCATATGTGCATCAACACAATTTTTGGCTTTCTTCATATCAGCATTGACATCCTAACATCTTTCCTTATGCAACCACAGCACCTCCATGTGCTCAGGCTCATGTGAAGCCTTGGATGAACAAGAACCCAAGAAATGTGTGCAATTCACAAAGCAGGGCTAAGACATGCACACTTGCAAGCTTTTGCTCATCTAAATGCAGAACAGAGCATTAATTACATCAGTCAACCTCACTGTTGACTCATGAGAAGGTCACCTGGTCCCACCCCTCCCTGTGCCCAATTCTTCCTCTAAAGAGCAGAGAAGGAAAGTCATTCTCCTCCCCCTAGTCCACCAGAGCTGAGAAACGTCCCAAATTGCCTTGTAGAACGCAGATACCTGGCTCTCCCCCCTCCCTCCAGGTATTTGCAGATGACATTTTCAGGACATGCCAGCAACACTAAGGTCTGGAGATATAGGTGCCACGAGGCATATCTCCGAGCTGACAGGTGTGGGCTCCCCAGGAGTTGGTGCTTGTCTTGTGAAATGCAAGGAAAGCAGTGCCAGAAATTTCCCCTACCTTCCTCACTCTCTAAGATACACTTAGACTATGAAGGCCATATCCACTTCCTCCCACGGGGAGCACTGCACTGGCCCATACCTGCCAGATTTAGCTCTGTGGCAACACCTGCAGCCACAGGGGACTGTTTTCTCCAGGTAGATCTCTCAGTTTCAACCACTAGTCTCTGGCTTGGTTCAACTCAGCTAGCATCTTCCACCACCAAGTTATCACTCCCTGGCTTTTGTGCTGGTTGTCATAATATGGTGGTGGCTTTCTTTGGGATTAGGTCAAATTAGAATAAAAGGTTCATTTAGTTAAGTGAAAAACATAGGGCTATAAAAAGGAAAATTTCTTAAAAACACATTCTACATTTTGTGCACAGAAGAACTCTCAAACTTTTATCCATTATCAGGGATGTGGGCACAGATTTGGAGAAAAACATTTCAATTTACTGGGAAAGACAAAATGGTGGGAAAGCCGAGTTTGTTCCAATTCTCTAGGGTTTGTAAATTTATGATGCTTGTCAGTGGTGAGCCATGTGAAAGTCCTAATTCTATAATCCTGGCCTGGAAGGAGTTGAAGTTGACTGGATGTTCTTGCTGGTGAAGATGTTGGTTTCTCTTCCACATTCCTGTAACCCTGTGGTATAAGAAAGGCCCCTGAACTGGGTTTCAGCCTCCTTATCTCTAGACAGGACTCAGCAAGGCCTATGGAAGGCAGGCTGTCCCCAAGGCTCTTTTCCTTCATGGCAGGTGCAGCTACTGCCCAGGAGCCCTGGGGAAGAGCAGGTTCTGGAGTTGCCGCGATCACTCCTCATTTACTATCGGCCAGCTATACACAGTGACCAGGGGCCAGGTCATCCCACAAACCACACCTAATCCCTGATTTTACTGGTGCCTTCAGGAAGGAATTAGCCCCAGAAGAAAAAGAACATAGAGGGGAAAGGAAAAAGGGAAAAGGGAGGAACTAAAAAAAATGGGTTCTTTAATTGAGAACCAGTCACTATAATGGTATTTTCCATGAAAATATGTTTTCCAAGTCTCCCATTATGATGCTGGAGATTTTCTATACAAAGCCAAATCTTCCAAGGAAGAAAATAATAAGCAAGCATTCAAGAGAAACAGAAGTTTTTAAAAAGGCATCTAGGAAGAGTTTTTTTTTTTTAAATCAAAATTAAACTGAATTCAGTTCTGTTTTGTTTTTTATAAGTTGGATGGGACACCCAGAAATGCCCTAATATCACCATGTATCCTTGACTGGCTGGTCACTTCAGCAAAGTCACTGTTACAGAACACATCAAAACAGACAATCATTGTAGTAAAGAGGACAACAATAGCTGCTTCTACCTCCATGCTAGTATTAGGGTCAAGATCATCACACTCTGACTCCTCGGAACTGTTCGTCTCCTTGATGGGCAGCATGAAGTGGGGGAAGAAAGAGAACACAGTTAGAACACAGGCAGCTTTGGCTAGAGAGTGGGGAGAACTTAAGAGAAGCATGAACAATGGGAAACCGGGCAGAGAAAAACCAGGTGCTGTTGAGGTGGGTGCGGGTCACCTGGGGTGGCAGCATGCTCTTTTCAGGGAGAGCCGCTCATCTCACAGGAAATAGCAATGGAAGCAACCAAATGAAGCATGAGTGCTGTTAAATTTTAGCTGTTGTCTTCTGTGAGGCTGGACTTTCCAGGTGAGGGTGAGGGAGACAGTACAATTTCTTTTCCCCAAAAAGGACATTCGAATGGGTTTTGACTGTTCCTATTTTTCTCAGGAAGACAATACACATTATAACAATATTACACATCAGCAATCTAATTTCCATTGTCCAGAGGCAGATCTTTTCTGAGGGCCCAACACAAAGAAAACAGATCACATCATTTCAAGATGGGGCACAACAAGGACCTGCCGAAGCTTAGAATAAGTGAGTTCATTATCATAGTTGGGTTATTACAGAGCAATAGCTTGGGCTTCATCAACATGCCTCCCTTCTCTGCCCAGGCATAGGCCTGAAGGTGATGTCTGAATTCTGGGGAAAAGAAATGAAACTTTACCAAGGACACAGTAGCCCTTACATTCCAAACCTCAGACTTCAAAGGGTTGGAGGTTTGGAAAACAGCTCTAATCTCTTTACCCTGCATGTATTTTTAAACCCAAGACACTGAATGGGTGACTTTGAGAACTTTACTATGAATCAAGCATCTTGCATTTCTAAGAGGATAAATAATACTGCAGATAATTTTGCTATAAAACATCTGCATAGTATAAGGAAGGTATAAAAGAAAAAAAAAGAGATACTTACTTACTTGAATCGAAGTTGCCAGGAGAAACAAAAAATAAAAAATAAATTGATCTCGCATGCAAAATCCTACTAAACTACTTCCCCTCTGGTCCCCATCCACCCAAGTCTCCTTGTGAGAATGCTGCAGGGTGGGGGTAGATGAGAGGTCGGACACAGTTCCAGAATACCTTACTCACTTTAACAGAGACTTTGTTGCCCAGAATATCCTTGGGTTTACGAGACCCTGTGGCTTCATTTTTACCCGTGTTCTCCACTTCTGCCCGCTTTCTCATGCGTAGAGTATGCCATGAACATGACTTCCTGTTGTACCAAAAAATGCACCAATCAAAATGGCAGGTCAAGGCAGAGTGAGCGAGGCGGTGGGTGGGACTGCCACCATCTGGTGAGCCAGCAAGTGAGGCACTCTAGTGAAGTCCTGGCTGCGGAGGCCCCAAACCTCACACCAGCTCCTGTGGTGGAGGCTGGCAGTGGATCTCACCTCCAACAGGAAGTGAGTGAGGATGACCTTTGATCCCTCTCAATAGATGTGCGAGCTTGGTTGCAGCATTGGAGGGAAGAATGAGAATGGAGCTACTAAACTCTACTGAGGGAAGCTTTCATATCATATTGATGAGGGCTTAGAGGACTCAGGAATTCCCTTCCTAAAGGGTATGGTGGATGGGAGAAGACTAGGGGTGGGGAGTAAAATAGGAAATATAAGGGAGGTATATTCAATAGTGTGTAAGGTACTTTTCCAGGATCAGACACAAAGACCCAAAAGGATGATAATGAGGTTTTCATCTCATTGTTTGTATTTGGGCTGTGGCCAGTCCCAAACACTGTGTAGTACAGATAAGAAGTTCTAGGGCATTGACTTAACAGACTGGTGAGCACTACTCATTTATCTGGAGGATTTAGGATGAAGGGTTGATATTCTCCACATTATCCCATGTCTGTGAATACAGAGATCTGTCAACCACTGAGAGGTCCTAGAATTTTCCTGTTGGGAGAAGACTCAACACGTGCTCTCAGGGAGGTGAGAGTAGCAATGCCCTTTCACACTATCCTAACTTCCTTCTTCTCACTAGGGGGTTTGGAGCTATTTCTTCGTAGACCTGTAAAGAGAGGCTAGTGTAGAGCTCTTGAGTTCCACATATGTCACAACTCAAAGACAAAGACATCAAAAGTCAAGCCACAAACAGCATCAGGGACCTGGGCAGGGATCGTCAGTTTCAGATGTGGTCACAGAGTTTGGATGATGTTCTATCATGTCTGGAGTAAGTGAGGCTGGCTTCTCTCCAGTGTCTCCTTATCAACTTTAGGCCTATACAGACAAGGCTCAATTAACAGAGCCTTCATTAAGGGAGACAGGGGAGAAAGAGAGAGACCTATGAGATTTAGGAGGAAGGCAGATGCTCCAAAATACATAGCAGCTCCTCCAGAAAACTCCACAAATGTCAGGGATTTTAGGATGTTTTGGGGAAGATGTGCTAAAAATATTTATCACAAACATGGAGGTTTAGCAATCTATGTTCTGAGTAGGAAAGAGTGATAATAGTCATGTCCTCATTTTTTTTTTTTTTTTGGAAAGCAGCTCCTACAAAAGGCAAGAAGGAATCTCCTGGCCCGACCTTCTGTTGTATCTCCTAAATTGGCAGGCTCCCTGGGATCCCTTGCATAACAGCTGTTCACTCCAACAGTTGTTTCTGAGTGAGAACTGGTCACAGAAACTAACTTCAGGTAATATCATCTTAACTGCAGACTTTGACCCCCTATCTTTACCCTCAAAGCAAAGTCCCTGCTCATTCTGAGAACATCTTGAGTCAGGGAGGTCCCTGCTGAAAAGACTCCTAGGGCAGCCAGCACAGTGTGTGTGTGCCTGAGCATGGGGGTGCATTCCTATGTTTATCACAACCTACAAGTAATGTTGGGAAACAGACACGAAATAGTACAAGAGGCAGAACACACTTAATTTCACTATTCTTTTTCCCAGAAGAAGGCGTCATCATTTGGGGATCTTCCATCTCTTGGCCATAAGCCCAGGGACTGATGTGGAAACGGAGACATTTCAGTGACATGTATCCCATAGGCATCACAACCAACTCTGACACTTGTGGTCACAGCCCTTGGGAGGGTGCAATGAGTGTCCTTCACTGATAAATAGTGACCACTTTCAGTCCATTGCTTCTGTTCCACTCCCACTAACCCTTGTGCAAGAACTGCTGATAAGGAATCAAATGAGCAATTGGTATTTGAATCTGCTCTCTTTTGCCTAGTTTGACACCCTTCCTACCAGTCTTCCTGTGGAAGGCGTGAAACGTGAACAAAAGATGTGAAAGTGAGAAGCGAGAAGTGCTGAGTGCCCGGATAATTAGATCACAACTCATTATGAGTTGGCTAGCACTGTAAGTCATTGATTAATGAGAACCTAAATGCTTTGAGGGCCTTTATTTCCAAGGCTTCTGAAACCAAGTATCTGAAGGATAAGATGAATGGGGTCTATTGCCCTTCAGGGGAACTGCTGACTTCCAGCTGGGTCTATGCTACCTGGAAAGGCCAGGGCGAGGTCAGCAAACTGTCCCCTGGGCCAGAGGAAGCACCGAGGAGGTGCAGCTCTGCTGGTGTTGCTGTTCAAGCATCTCATGTGAGTTCCTTTTCCCTGGTCACCGGTGACCACCCAGTGTGGAGAGCAGTGGGGGCTGCAAGCCACCCCATCACCTTCTACACTAGCCATTGATTTACATCAGCACCTCCAGGTCACCCACTTGGACAGCATTTGATCTGCATCATCCCTCATCTCAGAGGTTAGAGAGAACCCACAGGGGCTGTTTAGAAGGGAAGGCTAGGGTTGGAGCTTTGGTGGCAAAGGCACTTTTTGTTTAGAAAAAAATTGCCAATGCATTCAACCAACTCTTAAAGGAAAAAAAAAAAGAACAGGAAGAAGAAGAATAATCATTTGTACATTTAAAAGTTCCAGAACAGTGCAATGAGGAAAAAGGGTCCACTAGTCTTTAACCTCATTAAGACATGCTCATGATAAAAATTTATTTTACATATTTAAAATAATACATTTAAAATTATTAGTTACATTACAGGTACAATGATGAACATTGTGACTCTCCATTATATTGCACAGCCTGACTTCATCCAGATGGGTTTCTTTAAATAGTGCAAAATACTCTATACAGGAATGTGTTTGGAAGGGCCTTCACAACCAAAATGAGGAAAAGAAATATCTTACAAATGACCATGAACATATATTAAAGTGACAGGGGAGGGGGAAGATTAGAAAAAAAAAAAGTTACAATCTGTACACAGGAATTTCCATAGACAAGCAAAAAGTTCCCTCTCTCCTGGGAGAAGCAGCAGGCCTCTGACCTATGCAGGTCTGGCATTTGTGCTAAGGTAATTTTTTGGAGTCAATCAAAAAATAATATATATATATATGTGTGTGTATGTGTGTGTGTGTGTGTGTGTGTATATATATATATATATATATCAGTAACTTAATACAATATAAATAGAAGTCCAGTCCAGTGAATCCTGTGGTGGGTCAAATGGAGCAACAGGAGGCATGCCTTTTGTCACCTAGGGTTTCAGTAGGGTTCTTTTCTTAACAAGGGGTGGTGGGGAGAAAAGAAAAAAAAAAACAGAAAATTATAAATGAAAAGGAAAGAAAACCACCACTGTTACCACCACCACCAAAGAAAAAGCTGAACAATCCAGCCCAGATGCCCCCTGCTGCATGTGGTTCCAGCACTCAGACCTTGGTTCTGGTGGTGCTGTCGAGAATAAGCAGCAGTAACTCCCTACCATGTATTTGCATTTTTGTGTTCTTTGTTTTGAAATTTTTTTAGATCCACATATTCCTCTCCCCGGGAAGCCAACAAGGCACTTACTTGATGCTCCCGTCACTATTTTCTGTGGCTGCCATGGCTTTGGTGAGGGGCGCCAGGATGCTGCCAGGGACCCAGCCCTCAGCAGCGGGGGAGTGGTCGCTGGCGGGCTGGTATACCAGGCACATGTTCTGCTGGTTGACGGCGAGGACCTGGACAACCTCACCTTGGCTCACACAGATTTCATTCTCCTTCAGTGCATAGTAATCTTTGATCACGGCCATGGATGAGGCCCCATTGCATCCTCCCAGGTCACTCTGCAAGGAGACAGAGGTGAAAGGGACACAGATACAGGAAGGCTGGTTCACACATGATTGCTCTGCACCCTTGTGTGGTTAAAAGCCAATCTTCCTACTAGCAAGGTAAATAGCAGGCAGAAATTATCCTGAGAAATGAAATTATATTCATTAATGGGATCTGAGAATGTATTTTATGGCAATGTTTCATTAATATTATAATTGAGGGTGTAAAGGTAGAGATACTGCTCAGCCATAGGGAAAGGTATAAAAACACCGTCCACATGGAAATCCCTCCTTAGCATGCACCTTCCTGCCATCATCCTCCAGCTCATGGGAGGAAGAGTGTGGCAAAGGTAGAGGCATATATAAGCACCTGGGCAAAGGTCAGGTCAGTGGTCACAACCTCCCAATGAAAAGAACACAGGCTCTTTGATACATTTTTTCTTCCTTTTGAAAAAGCATTGATCTTACTCTATATTCTGTCCCTCTTTGAGACAGAAGTAACAGTGAGGCATTTGCCCAATTCAAAGGCCAGGTCATGACTTATCCTGATCCAACCGCTGTGGGAACAGAATGCATCCAGACCCCCAGCTCCACCCCTCCTGCCGGTACTCATTAATATGAAGGAGCCTGCCTCCATGACTTTTTCACGTGACTGCACCAGGGAAGCTACTTCAAGACAGACCTGCAACTCTCATGGATACCTGGCTGCCTCACAGCACAGTGAGAGCCAGAAATTCTTTGGTAAATTAGTGTGACTTCAACTTACTCACAAGGGCAAGGGGTTTTTAAGATGAAAAAAATCACTTCCAGGTGATAAAACAGGTCAGTATAATTACTCTAACACAGAATTGAACTTGGAAATCAATAGTTTAAAAAAAAAAGGGAATTCCTTGGTGCTTTCACTGCTGAGGGTGTGGGTTCAATCAATGGTTGGGGAACTAAGATCCCACAAGCTGTGCTGTGTGGCTGGGAAAAAAAAAATCAGTATCATCTAATAATTTGGGTAAGAAAAATAAAACTATAAAGTAAAAACATATAGGTAAAAAATGTAGACATTCCTATTCATAGACCCACTGAGTTCTACAGGAAATGGAGGTCTGATGAGATTAAGTAACCCACTGAGGTTCTAATGCAAGACACAAAGTTCTGAGCTGCAGAATTTGAAATGGAAACCAGATAGCCTAACACCTGATCTAGCACTTTTCCCATTCGTTGTCATTTCTACTACCTTGTGGGATCAAAACAGCTGTGTATGTTGATGACTATCCTCATGACAATGTTTGAATTGTGGATTATCTGTGATAAATGTCTAATCCAAGGCTAGCTTCCACAGTCACACATCAATGGGCAGCACCCCCTTGCTGCATCAGCAGCATGGGTGGTGAAGAGCTGTGGGCTCGCTTCAGCAGCTCATCTTTAGAAAGGGCAATCTCTTTAAGATGTCAAACCCTAGAGTTGCAACTTTTAGGTGGTCCACCTCACAACTCCTCTATTTGCTACAAATCATAATTGCTACTACAATATTACCTACAGCGTTTCTGCAGATGGCAACAATAGCCCTTCAACACAGAGTGTCTGAATCTGGGGGAAACTGGCCTAAGTCACTCAGTTTTTCAGAGAAGGAAGAGAAATAATTGAGACTAGAAGGTATTTACTGGGTTCTTCGTGCTAAAACAATTACCATAGAAAGATGCTACTTAATAAAGTAAGAACAGAGGTTGTGCCCTCAAAGAGGGTGAGGTGGAGGGATGGGCCATCACTTACCTTGCTGGCCTCAAACTTGTCCCCAGCCTGGTGGTAGTCAAACCCTGGACTGCCATTGGAGGTAGATATCTTCAGGGGTGGCAGAGGCGGGTTATAGCTGGAGCCCTTTGGGGGCTTCTCAGAGCCCACGGGGATGGAGGAGTAGGGTCTCGGGCTGGCTTGGGGAACCCTAGCAGGCTGGGACCTCATCACGGCTGTGCTCCTTTCTTTCCGCTGATACTCAATGGGCGACTGCAGGGCTACAGGGAAAGAGCAGGCTGTTACTCTCAGCTTTGGAAATCCCACGAGGACTTGGAGGCTCATGAGGTGAAGGCTTTGTGAGAGACAGAGTGGGGATACTCTGTACCCCCAGTATCATGAGGAAGATACTGCCCTGTTTTTAATGAATGTATAAGCTACTGAGAACTATTCTTAGTGTTGTCTAAGTGATGAAAATGCGACACCAAAATAGTACAAAAGGAGGGAGAGAAGGCTCTGTAGTACGTGTACATGTGCATGTGGCTGGACACAGGGACGAGTCGGGGTGGTAATAGAGAGCTCCAGAAACTACCAGCCCTCTGGCCCTCAGGCCAGAAACTGCCAGCCCTCAGCCACCATGCAGGCTCTGCAGGGTGGAAACAAATGGGAAGTGGGTCTCGGGAACAGAATGGAGTCAGAGTCCCTGGTGCACAGGGCCATGGCGCTCTGTGGAGGAAACGGAGATGAGACAGGTAAGGGAGGCGTGAGTTGCCATGGTGTAAAAGATCTAGAAAGTCAGGTGACTGAGTCTGGATTTAATTCTGAAGATCATGAAAAGTGACTGAATTCAGTGAACTTGCATGTTTTAAATGCAGGTGCTGGCACCAAAACCTTGCAGCAGGTTGGGGGAGGGATAGGCCAGGCTGATCAGGAGCCCTGAGATGGTGACAGGACAGAGGTGGAACCTGAGCAGAGCCGTGGGAACAAGGAAGGGGTGTGGCAGGTGCTCCAGAGGGAGGCGAGGCTGACACAGCCTAGATGGGAAAAGATGGCAAGAAGCCAGGGTCACTCGAGTTTGGGGGCTGGGAGAATGGTGGTTAGTGGAACTCAGGAGACAGGGGAAAGCTGTCTTGAAGAGAAAGACATGAACTTTGTTTTCCTGAGTTTAAGATGATAAAGTTCCAAGGTCTGAGTAGTAAAGAGGTATAGCAGGTAAAAACCACACAGGTCAAATTCTCTAACAATGACTTCAAGGCTGGCCTGATTATATTGTTTCTATCAGTGTTCACTGTAACAAATATTTGATTGGGTTAATGGCTGAGGCCCAGAGAACTTTTCATGATGAGACTTTCTATAGTAATAGGTACTAGTAACTTTAACAGGACTCAACATATGGTTCATATTTCCTTTCCATCTGAGGCCTCAGGACAGGAAGGCTGACTCTGAGGTGCCTGCATATGTGACTATAAGTAAAAGCCTGGCCCCAGTCCATTGTCACATCCTTTGTCTTCTGAGTGTGTCAAGTGCAGCATAGGCTGCTACCAGATCTCGACCTTTCTCCTTGGAGAACATTAAATATTTAAGCATTGAGAATTGAGTTCAGTAATAGCTTCATAACTCACTATAATTAGGGGAAAGTTTTCTTGGAACCAGGTATCAATACAAATCTGGAAAAGTGACTATGGTCAAGAAGTATCATTCCAGATCTGAAGCAGATAGCAAGACAGCTGTGAAGGAGACTGTAGCAAACTGATTTGATGAATCAATATCCATCTCATGGAGCTGGGGTTTTACTTTGATTATATTCAATAATTATGCTAAAGAGCTTGAAAATGGCATATCTTCTTAAACAAGCTCCACAGAGAGACTGTCTTCTTCTACCAGCCTCAATCTGCATAACTTAAGTTTTAGGATTAGGAAAGTTGTACATCTTTGGATTGGGTTTGTATCTGGCTGACAGATACAGTGTCTTATACCTGATTCTGTTTTTTTTTGTTTTGTTTGCTGGGAAGCTCATACGTATGCCCTACCACTAGCAACTATATTGCAGTTTTGGGGTTAAGAACCTGATTTTAAGTTACACAGCTCTTAGTTTAAGTTTTATTCTAGCACCTACTGGTTTTCTGACTTGGGACCAGTTTATTTACCTCTCTGAGCTTCCTCTTCCTCATTTGAAAAATACAGTGTGATAATATGCGAAATGCTCAGCACCATGTCTCACACAGAGAAAGGACTCAATATATGGGTGGGAGCCATTATTGGTACTCATTTATACAGTTTCAATCTATTGTCCTACCTTATTTTTCTTTTGTCCTGAATTGATGAACTTAACAACTTCATTTCCAACTTAGAATCTATCAGAAATTCCTAACAGAATGCAATTTAATGAATGCTTTTTATATTTCACACATTTTTGCTTAAAGTTACTTTATCCACATAAGCATTAAATCAAAGTTGTATATTCAAAAGCTGTGAACAATACACAGCTTTCATTACTATCCCTCAGGACTGGGCTGGTGTTGATAATTTTAGATTCTTTAGAATTAGAAAGAACCCTAGAGATCACATAGTTTAGTCTTTTTTTTTTTTTACCAGATTGTTCTACAGCTGGGAGACCAGGGGCATGGCCCAAACTCTATGTATAATTGCTTTGAAGACTCATGTTGTTGTTTTAGTTGCTAAGTCATGTCCAACTCTTTGCGACCCCATGGACTGTAGTCTGTCAGGCTCCTCGGTCCCTGGAATTCTCCAGGCAAGAATACCGAAGTGAGTTGCCATTTCCTTCTCCAAGGGATCTTCTGACCCAGGGATTGAACCCATATCTCCTGCATTGCAGGAGAATTCTTTACCACTGAGCCACCTGGGGAGCCTTGAAGTCTCATGTTCTACCTTAAAAAATCAAGGCATTCTACTATATAATCTCATGTTATTTGTTTTAAAATAAATACAATGTGCTAAATCCCTTACTGAAGTACAGTTGATACCTGATGATCTCACAGGCTCTCTGGAGTTATCTGGAGATAACAGAGGCTACACAGAGAATGACGCTCTCTATGGGAGGTGTGCTGTGTTTTCCTGCTTCCAAAGCTGCAGAGTAGATCGTTCACAAAAAGAGCCAACCGAGGCCCAGTGACACGTCATGACTTGTCCAACGTTCATCACCTCTAGTCTCTCCCCACATCATTCAGTCCATGCTAGACACCCAACAATTGCTCTATGTGCATCATTTGAAAGAGAGCAGATTCTAGACTAGAAAAGGTGATACGCCTAAGGGTTGGATGTGTATGTGTAAACATGGGAAGACATATGGCCATACAGTACTCCTGTAAGTCCATAGAGAATGTCATTCTCTGTGTAAGTGATAATTTGTTCTGGGAAGCTTCAAGGTATTCCTGAAATTTAGAGTTAGCAATCACCTCTATTGGGAGCAAAGAGGGATTTGAGCTGATCTGCCAAACTCCCAGTTATCTCTAAATAACACTAGAGAACCTCTGAGATTACCAGCCATTAACTACCAAATGGAAAAATATACATCATTGACAGCTGGCCCCTGAGACAAAGAGAATGTGCTCATTTCAGATTTTGGCCCCAGTTATTACCAGCTGGTAATGGTGGCCACAAGGCACAACTTCTGTGTCAAGGCTCTAAGAGATTCTCTCTTCTTTTGGAAAGATGGCCTTCTTTACCATGTCCTATCTGCCCAATTGTATATTTGGGTTCAGAAAAATTCTACACAAAGTGTTTCTGAAAACTACAAGGTTGGAATGCATGTAAACGTGATCAGGGCTCATAACTCACCAACAGCCCAGATCCAAGGGGACTCAGAGTTGTGAGTTTCCCTGAAAATGGCCTGCCTAGAAGCCAGGCCCAGTACCTACCATTTAAGAAGTCTCGCTGTGTTTCTAAGACTTGGTTGATGTCCTGCACCCAGGCCTGCTGGATGTCAGCGTTGGCGGCTTGCAGAATGACCCTCTCTGAAGTCTCCCTGTTCAAAAGTGCAAACTTGCAGGGGTCATTGTCTACGTTCTCCTCCAGGACCAAGTAGTTCATCTGCAAGAAACCAAGGGGATCCTTCACATATCTAAGTGGTTTAAAAATATCAACAACATATTACAGTTCCTTCAAGTTTTTATTTCAGATGTTTCCAAAAATGTGCCCTGGATCTAACAGCTTAAATACTTTGGTTTCTGTCTTTGACTGAACGACATGATCTTGGAGAACCTGCATGATCACCTTAGAGACTGGCGCCAAGCTGTCACTTTTTCTCACAATAATCAACCTTCAAGCCTGAAGGTTACAAGCCTAAAAGGTCTTCAATGTTCTGGATCCAAACTCATGCCAGTGCCTCGTCTTTGGGAAGCAGCTCCCTCAGTGTGGCTCTTCCTTGCCCCTCCTCACCCTCGCCTGGATCCTCACCTTGATGCTCCTTTTGAACATGTAGCCTGGGGTGAGGGATCCCTTCCTGAGCAGTTCACTGAAGATGACGATTTGCTCAAAGAGGAACACACGCCTCTCCTTGGTCCGTGACTGCATGCCAGCATCCAGCTCAATCACATAGAATGTGTCCTGCTGCAGCAGCTTGCCCTGAGCAGTCAGGGTCCCCTGATGGGAAGAAGGGCTGGAATGAAGTAACTGAAAGACAGGGAGATGACCCCAGCCCTCTGGGTAACAGAATCTCCCCCTCTGGGGACATGGACAACAGACCCGACAGCAAAAGCCTCAGGTTCTAGTAAGAGACTGAATCAGGGCCCATCTAGGGTAGACTGTGACCACCTTCCTTCTCACAGGGCCCCAGACAGAAGGGAAAGAAGGCTATAGAACCATACAGATGCAGTTTGGGGAAAATGCCAGAAAGAAGATAAAATTATTAGCTAAAAAGATGTTCAGGAGTTGTCCTCGCCCTTATTTTTTTTAGTAAAAGGAAAACAGAAGGTAGGTGATGTTGGAGCTGGAAGCAGACTTTCTGTCCTTGGAGAAAGTGTGCCACTGAGAGGTGTGCCTGCCTGGCCCTTGTGAGAAGACCTGGAATACTCTCATAGCCATGGATCTAGAACCAATCTAGGGCCAGGGAAATGATGGAGGCAGGACCACACACACACATACACATCAGATGAGTAGGGCCCCTCTCTGCTTTATTTCAGGCTGGTGAAATTCTGAGATCTTCATCTCCTGCTACAGATCAGCAGGTACAGCTGAGGTACTATCAATCAGTGCCCTTATTTTATAAGCTGATGGATATTTTTTTGGGGGTCCTGAAATCCTTCTTATAATGTCTCCAGTTGCCAGATCACTTGACACCCAGTCTAGGAGGTAGAGCACATTTGGTTTACCAGTTCTAACCAGATTTTCAGAGATATTGTCACATCTTTCAAGGGAATCTAGCCCAAGCCAGCAAGTCTTCACAGATGCTACTGGAGAGCCTTGCTTTTTCTACTGTTCTGCAACAAGATGCTGCCATCTGAGACAGTGACCAGAGCACTGCCTCTAAACTCTCAGCTGACAACTTTTGTCCTTTAATGCAAATGTGGAATATTCTCTGCACCTGATGATTTTTTTTCAAACATTACCCAACACACGAGCTATTTTCCTTTCATGTTCCTGAGAAATGCCAGCCCTTTGCTTGGATCATGGGCCTTACTGTCAAGGTCAGCAGCCAAACAGGCTTATCTCTACCCTGGTCCAAAGTTAATATTAAGCCAGTGACCAGCTCTAAAAGCTCTATTAATATTACATAAGAGCCTGACCCAAGAGTTATAACCCTGCCAACACTAAAGGGAAAGCTAAAGGATGTAAAAGGAAGGGAATCTAAGTGAAGGGGTTAACTTCTCTCTGCCCCAGAGCCAAGGACTTCAGAAGGAATGGTCCTTCCCAGTTAGCAGAAGGAATGCAAAGCAGATTCTCTAGGACTTCATGAAAAAAGGAGATGGTGGTTGACTTAAAAGAGAAAATAATTCCACCCTCCCATGTGTGTCCTCCTGTGGACACATGCACATGTACAATATGGTTCCTGCGAAGTCTGACTGGGTCAGAAGGCACATCAGATGTTCCTCCTGTCAGTGGTCAGTTCCTCCAGAGACCAAGAGAAATTCAAGTCAGACTCTTGCTCAGAAAAACACAGGGAACATCAAGGATGAAGGGCAAAAGGAATTACTTGGCTTGTTCAGAACAGCCTCAGACCTGGCATAATTCCAAGCAAACAAGTATAAAACGTCATCTAGTGTGACTTAAGAAACACCATGTGAAAACTTGAGATGTATTTCTCAGGTCTACTGTGGCGAACAGGAACCTGTGAAAAAAATTAAGAGCAAAAAGGACCCTCCACATAGTTCCTGATCACAACATAGTGATGGAAATCAGACAGGGACAGCAGGATGGGCTGTAAGGGCAGAAAGGACAAAAGAATTTGGCTCAAAACCATTATTAATTGAAACCATTAACCCAAATCTGAATATAGCACTTTCTAACCTTATATATATATCAGTCTGCCTTATGTCTATTTCATTCTAGTTTAGCCAGAAAGAAAAGTCCCCTGTTTCTAAAATGAAAAATGCAATCTTACAAGATTATTGGGAAATAGGATTAGAAGATCCACATCTTTCTCTAAGGGGTTCAACAACAACTATAAGCACCTGTCAATAATTGTGTTAGTTCCAGTTTTATCATATTAGTATTTAAAATAGACTGTGTTTAGTTAATAAATGAAGTTTGGCTATAAACTAATAACAGCCACTTATTAAGCTTAAATCAGGAAAGCCAATTTGCTCTTCTGAGATTCACTGTTTTGGGTTGAACTGAATCCCCTCTCCAAGTTGCATGTTAAAGTCTTAACCCCCAGTGCCTTAGATTGCAACCTTATTGAAAGACAGAGTCTTTACAAAGGTGAACAAGTTGAAGAGAGGTCATCACAGTGAGCCCTAATCAAATGATTGATGTGTTTATAAGAGGGGGAAATTTCCACAGAGGTATGTACAGAAGGAAGATGATATGAAGACACAGGAAGAATGCCATGTGAACATGAAGATGGCCATCTACAAGCCAAGGAGGGAGGCCTGAACAGACCCTTTCCTCACAGTGCTCAGAAGAAACCACCCTTGCCTACACCTTGATCTCAGATTTCCAGCTTTTGGAAACGTGAGATGATGCACTTCTGTTGTTGAAGTCTATAGTACTCTGGTTATGACCACCCTAGCACACTAACTCTGGTTATGGTGGCCCTAGCACACTAGCATATTCAATTGAAACCCAAATCCTGAGTACATCCAGCTGTTTCTCCCAAGGCTTGACTCTTCTTGTCAAAGAATAGTAATGTGCACTGTGATGTTTTAGAGCTTAAAACATCCACTTAACTAAAAAGCCAGCCACTATGTAGACCTGTTTATTAGAACCACCCTCTCAGGAAAAACAAAAAAAAAAGTGTTCCATTTTCCCCTAGTTCTACTCCCATCACATAGTCCTGCACTCCCTCACATTCCCAGCATTTCTCAAGTAAGAAAGAAAAGGGAAGAGGTCATTGGCAGGTCCATGGCTATAAAGAATCTTGGGTCTTTCCAACACCCTTGGAATTCTGACTGCAGCTTGGTTGACCTCCTATGACTGCTCTATTGCTGGAAATCCTAAATAGGTGCATCTTCTAGGCCCGTGAACCAGAGGGGCCCAGGCACAACGGCACAGACAGCAAGTGAGACAGAGAGGGTGGGCACAAGGCTTCACAGGGAAGCCTGGGTTCCTGCTGCCCTGAAGAGAGAGGGCTAAGAAGCCTTCTTGAGAGCTCACCTCAAAGCCCTGCAGGCGTCCCAGGTTCATCATGTCATTGCAGCGTTTTGGAACAAGGCACATTAACTCCACTGCTTTCTGTGGGGGAAGAAAAGCAGTAGTCATAACCAGGAGCAGCACTTGAGTGGCGGGCTCAGGACAATTCCATGCTGGAAGACTGAGGCCTCCTGGTGGCTTCTTGATCCTAGGAAAGGACACTGGTCCCTACTGCTCGCTCTGGAAGAGAATGGATTTCCTGTTCTAGTTTGTGGGGTGTTGGTCATCCATGCAGAGGCTCCACATGAATCAGTGACCACATGCAGGAATGAGGCTACCCAGTCCATCCTTTTTCTACCTTCCCACTTTTGTTAATCCATTTGCTTTCCCTCTCACATTTTTCTTTCTTCTCTTTGTTGCTTTCTGGCTGCCCAAGCAACAGCTTAGCCTTGCTTGTGACACACTAGAGGTTTTAACCTAAAATAACCTGCCAGAATGGTCTGTAACCACTCTGGCTTAAAATAATCCCCATGGTGACGTTGTCTCAAAGGACTTCACTTAGAGAGTAATCCTCAGGGCCCAGGGAGGGAGTGAAAATGGAATAATTTATATGTCAGCTTAAATAGTGTCTGAATTCCTGGATAAAGCTGTACACTGAAACACCCAATCTCTGCAGGATGTTAGAGGGCTCAAATGCTACCCTTTCCCATCACATGTCACTGGGAGCCACAAAGAGAACATCAGTGGGGCTAAGCTGTGCTCTGGCTCAGGTCTGAATTCTTGCATTCTTGATAAACCCTCAGTGTGCTCCTCAGCGCTTGGTATTCCTCATCTTGCTGGGCAGCTGTCTGCAAGGGGCTCTGCTGTCTGAGAGGAGTCAGCCTGGATCCTCTATCCTCCAGAGTCAATCCTTCCCCTTTAGAGGCAGACATTCAGTACTGTCCCCTGAGAACCACCAGCATTTCAAGCAGAAAACTCACCTCAATGTCTGAACACTCCAAACCAGCCTTCTCGCTGTATCTCAGGAAGTCCTAGCAAGTAGGGAAGCAAGGAAGGGTGAGGGGAGGGTAAAACCAGTTAGGAAAATACAGCACTATAAAGAAAATGAAGCTTCATAAAAACCAAGATGACACCCAGAAGACTCCTTCCCAACAGAGATGGCAATGCTTTGTAGTAGCTGAGATATGAAGTTATGAATCAGGGTAGACAAAACCAAACAGAGAAAACATTCAAAGACTCAAAACTATGGGTAGAGGGGAGGGGCGAAGAGGAGAGTGAGTGAGTGAATAGGGACAAAAGGGGAATGATGATGAGAAGGAATGGGAGACAAGACAGTTAAATATCTCTTCCATTTGTCTTATATTTCTGTAAGACAAGTCAAATTAAACAACTTTAAAAAGTAAAAAATGATCAAATTTTAGGTTTAGCTCATCTGAGGTTTCTAGGTTTTTTTGCCTTTTCTTTCTCGGTGAATTCTTCTCTGATTTTATGCTCTTATAATTTTTTAGTTTTTAAAGGTTCCAAGTCAGTTGGTGACAGCAACAACGTAAGAAAGTGATTTGGAAAAAAGAAAATCAAATAACAACCAAACTTAAAGGCAGGAACAACAGGCATGCAATTTATTTGGGGGCAAAGGTGATGCAAATAACCAGTAGGTAATGTAAAAACCCACGTGGGCCTCCCACAGGAAAAGTGCGGTGGAGACAGAACCTCCAGCTGACCTGCTCCCTAACTCAGAGTCTGACTAAGACCCTGCTCTAGCCCTGAGCAGGGCTCACAGCACTCTTACCTTGAGGAGCAGTTGATATTTTGTTATTCTCTGAATGGGCTTGATAAGGAAGTCGCTAAGTGTCAGCCTTTGATTTATCTCTTGTTTCACCTCCTGGAACATAAGGGAGCTACATTATACAAAAAGGAACCAAAGGATTGGGGTGCTCTGGTTATGGGTTCAAAGGAAAGCAAGGCAGGTCATCGTGTTTGCCAGTAAAGATTTAGAATCTACAAAGCACACGATAGGTAGAACTGCCTACACAATAGTTCATTTGTTATTAACACACAGCACACCTCATCATCACCTTCTTATCTATCAAGCTCTGTGACCCCTTGTGTCCTTGCCCCTGTCCTGGGGACAAGCTGGAATGGGTGTTCCTTTCTCTCTTCCCCTTCAGGGTCAAGTCAGAAAGGAAGGGATTCCCCTGGGACACAGAGGCCGAGGGGCTGGACCCTGGACTCAGATCTGCAAACGATTAGTTGTGGGAGCTCTCCGAGACAAGGTGTTGCCCTTCCTCCAGCAAAATAAACACTTCCAGGCTGGGGCAGAACAGACACTTTGAGGTGCTTGCTGGATCTCTGGGAACAGGAGCAGAGGCTATGTACAAGGTGCCTATGAGTGCCCCCCGGGAGGAGGAGGGCCCTCAGCAAGCAGTCTCCAGGGCCTGGTGATGAAGACTGGGGGTGCAGTGGGCTCTGGGGCCATGGAAGGAGGACTGGAGCTTCTGTAGCAGTCTCTGAATTACAGAGTTGTTCTATCAGCAGGAACTCCAGTCCACTTGCTCGGCTGTCTCTGCTCCTCTCCAGCAAAGGGATTCATGAGAACTTAGTCAAGAAGCTAATTAATGGCTCCTGAGGACGCAGCTATCTCTGTCCTAAGGGATGGGCAGTGCTGGGTGGGGTTCACCAGCCGATGAATGACGGTTGGTATTTCTGAATGGGTTGGTCTTGGCCTGAGTTTCTTGCCCCCACTCTGGTTCGGACAAAATCGAGCAGCTTACTTCAAAGTAGGCATCGTACTCAGCGACGATGTACTCAGAGCGTGGCTTATTCTGGCAGTACCACACGTAGATGTGCAGCTTCCGCTCCTGCAAAGGAGGGAAGAGGGAAAAGCGCTCAGGCACCTGTGCCGTGCAGTCAACCCCAGCGTGCTAAGCTGGTATAAGCATGGAGAAGAGGACACAGATCTGGTTCATGCTCTGGGGATGCACCAACGCGGCTAAACATCAGGGACAGAAGAGTAAACATAGTGGGCAAGAGCCCAGCTTCCAAACTGCCAAGGAAGGGAGGAAAAAAAACCCAACAGCTCAGACAGGGATGAGAAGGAAAAGCAGAGAAGGGAAGGGATTGTAAAATGCATGCAAATGAGCCTGGTGTGAGGGGAAGGGGTGGGGTGTGAGGCAACACTCACATATTTAATAAAGAGCTGTGCCAATCTGTCTTGCTCCTGGATACATTTTTCCAGTTCACCCAGGAAAACACTAAAGGAGGATGGAGAAGAGAAGAAAGCCACATTCTTCAGAACTGTATTACTTTTCAACAAGGAGATAAATGACAGAAGACTCCCCCCAGACTCCACCCTTAAGGTCAGACGCGGGAGGATGGGAGCACCCCGGTTTCCAGAATACCCTGATCCTTAGGGCAATGCAGGACTTACTCCTTATGCCAATCATAAATCTGGTGAATATTTCCAAACACGATTTTATCCTTTCCTCGCATGTCCTCGGGGACACCCTTTTCTTCTATTCTCTTCATGAAGCCCTGCAGGGCAGAGGCAATGGTGAGTAGAGCGTTTCAGAGAATATTTCTGGACCAAGCCCCACCCAGCAGGCTGGAGGAAGCCCACCCTCTGTGTAAGGAGAAGGGCAAGGGCTTCTGTGGTTTCTCACCACTCAACCAGGACTTCACCCTTATGCAGAGTGACAGACAGAACTTTCTGAAGTTCTGGGTCCCTTTCTTTGTCTCCAGCCCCCCCATTAAGAAAGCAGGACAAAGAAGATATAGTTGGCTGTTCCTCTCCTGTCTCCCAATCCAAGTTATGTTTTTGAAGGCTTAAAACTAGATGTGTCTGACATAGAAATAAGTCTTAATATGTGAATACTTCAGCTTCTGTAATTGGAGAAGGACATGGCAACCCACTCCAGTATTCTTGCCTGGAGAATCCCATGGACAGAGGACGCTGGCGAGCTACAGTCCACGGGGTTGCAAAGAGTTGGACACAACTGAGTGACTAAGCACAGCACAGCTTCTGTAAAGTGCTAGCAGGTATAATCTCATTTCAGCTTTAAGTTCTGATGTTGTTATCAGCAGCATTTGTCCCATTCAAAAGATGGGAAAGCCAAGGCATGGGGGATTATGTGTTATGTCTAAGTCATACCACTGATGTGACTGATCCCTGGACCTCAGGTTCCAGACTCCCCAGTCCACCACTCCCAGGCTGCACTGCCTCTGGTGGCTGCTATACCTTTAGCTGTCCCCATTTCACCTTGGAGAAGAGGATAACTTTCCTAAGTTAGAATTCAGGTCCTCTGTATGCCAGGTTAGTCTGTTTATCCAAGGTTCGGGATAGGCAAGTGTGTGCGTGTGTGTGTGTGTGTGTGTGTGCGCGTGCTAGTTGCTCAGTTGTGTCTGACTCTTTGCAACCCCATGGACTGTATCAACCCCTTAATCAGCAGACTGCCTAGGACTGGGACTTATAGACCCAATGCAAAGCAGCAGCAAGTGATTTTGATATCAGGCATTCACCTTGTTAGACTTCACATCTTTTCGTTTAAGATGATTAAACACAGGGCTCTAAGCCATCTAAATTATCCATTTACTTTCTTATAACTTCTCATCCATGTGTCTAAATCCCCCTAAAGTAAACCCCTATGGAGAGAGAGTTGTTTTATTTACTATCAAGTTGACTCAACTGTGGACCTGCCAATCTTGCTTTATTTGTGGTTTTTAGTTTGTCTGTCTGCTTGGTAGCAGTATGCTCTCCTTAAAATCTAGGGGAACACAGAAGCCCTGAGGTTTCACTAAGAGTGACCTGCTTGACCTGCTGAGTGCTCATGGTGACTCATAGCCACGAGGAATATATGTCCATATATTTCTTATATATATACACATATATATATATATATATACATATATATATATACACACACACACACACACACACACATACATACACACACACACACACACAAATATGGGCTTCCCAGGTGATGCTACTGATAAAGAACCCACCTGACAATGCAGGAGATGTAAGAGATATGGGTTCAATTCCTTGGTCAGAAGATCCTCTGGAGGAGGGCATGGCAACCCACTCCAGTATTTTTGCCTAGAGAATCCCATGGACAGAGGATCCTGGTAGGCTACCGGTCCATAGGGTCACAAAGAGTCGGACATGACTAAAGTGACTTAGCACACATGCACATATATATATAACTAACATATACATTGGTTAAATACCAATGCAAAGCTTTGGAGACAATGGCTTGGTTACCTAAAACAAGGTGAAATGGATTCAGGTCTAACCAAGAGGCTGCAACATTTGAGGCCCTACATCCCCCTAAATCTCCTATAGTATTTCAAGGGGAAAAGGAAAAAAAGAAAAAAACTTGTGAAAAAAAAAAAATCACATATTTTATATGATCTACTACCATTTTTAGTTTCATCTCTGTAAACACCCAGGGAGAGTAAAACACATCATGTCAAGTTAAAATACCTTGGGGCCCAGGTAGGGTCCAATATCCCCCTGGCTGGGTGACCACAGACATGTCCTGAGCCAGGTACTTACCTCCACCACAATTCCCAGGTCCTTGACATAGTCTTTCTCTGTCTGGACCAGTTCATTCAGGACAAACCTGAGCAAGAGATTAAGAACAATAAGGGCTCCTCTTCACTGTGAAGCAAGAAATCCTCACATTGAAGTTCACAATAAAGTCACTTTGGTGCCTCTATGACAAGACCACCCAAACTCGCACTGAGCTCTCGGGAAGGTGCTGGCTGATGCCCTCTGGACGAGAGGCCCCCACTGGTGAGGAGCTGAGGGCACCCAGGCTGAGAGGGCTTTCCCAGACGGCAGCAATGCCAGGAGAACAACACTTACAACCTAGCATTTGTCTTCCTATTGTTTATAATTCCTCCTCCCTCACCTATAACTGAATAATTATACAACACAAGGCTGAAGGAATAACAGCCACTTGGGCAAAGCTGAGTTATGAAAGCTTTGATCAGCATGAGACTTTTTCTCCTTTATGTCAACTCTGTTCTTTGCTTAACTAGAAGAGAAAGATGTTTGATAAGCAACCTTTGGGCCTCAGAGACACTCATCAAGTGAAGTGTTTGAGATACAGAAGCTACGATTATTCAGATAGGTGTCCATGGTAACCAGTCTGCAAATTCCCCAGTCAAGGCCAGAAAGACTGACTGAAGCCATTCCCTAATCACCACTTTCAGTGTGGCCACCTCCCCAGCCCCACCAGAGGTGGGATTTAACCACTATAAGGATATTTACTTTCTTGGTTTCTTTCTTGTTAATGATTTCTTCTTCTTAGAGCCTTTGCTTTGTGCTTACGAGAGGGTAAGTACTGTAAGACCTAGTTTATGCAGATGTTGATACTGAGGTGGTATTGCCAAAGATGACAATATGAGAGGCAGAGCTGGGATCTGAACCCAGTTGTACAAGAGTTCAGAGACTCTACTCTTCCACTGTTGCCCGCTGCCTGGCTAAACTACTTAGACTGACTCTCTCGAGTCCCTGAGGATCAAACCCAAACACTTCTTTCTGTCCAGACAGTAAAGAGCTGGACATAAAATAAGTATGGCTGTGAACAGAGGCAGGGTAGTTGTATGCGGCCTACTGGAGTCTGACTTGTATTACCTAAGTTTGAAAGAGTTCTGCCTGGAGCCACACACTGCATTTTCGGCCTGAGTGGGAGAAGGAATCAAGTTCTGGGACATCAAACAGGGGCTGCAGCACAAGGGTGGTAGCCGTTCTAAGCCTTGGAAGCAATTCATCTGAAATTTTTGTCCCATACAGCACAGAGAAGCCACAAATCTCTGGGCCTGGAGCCCCAGGGTGACGGGGAGAAGGTAAGGGAAACACACACTTCTTTATCAGTGCGCCCAGCACTTCCAACCAGCTCCCTCTCTCTGATACACACAATTATGTGTTTCAGGCCACAGGAAGGAACTGGCAAGGCCAAATAAAAGCTTTTAAATATACTGGAGCACATACTGGAGTTATCGCTTAGAAGAAAGTGGTAAAAAGAAAAACCACAGGAAAGTTAGAGTGGGAATTTGGGGCTGGAAGGGCTCTTTGGGGAGATAGTCCGGCTCTCCGCTTCTGGATGGTATTTCTATCCTGCTGACACTGAAGGGTATCCTAGGCTTTCCAGCCTCTAGGAAAGGGGATTGGACTAGGTGTTGCTAGTGGACCTAGCATCTCCTCCCTCAAAGAGCTGATGAAATACTTGAAGAGATAGGACACATGGAAAGACATCTGAAAGGGATGTAAAAGATTTACGCTGCCTGCATCTCAAGGCAGTGCACAATCAATTGCCAAATAAATTGAACTGATAATAAAACAATTTTTTCATGTTCCATTCTTCTGAGTAAAAGTTATTTATTAATGGGCGTCCCTTATAGCTCAGTTGGTAAAGAATCCACCTGCAATGCAGGAGACCCCGATTCGATTCCTGGGTTGGGAAGATCCGCTGGAGAAGGGATAGACTATCTACTCCAGTATTCTTGGGTTTCCCTGGTGGCTCAACTGGTAAAGAATCTGCCTGCAATACATGAAACCTGGGTTTGATCCCTGGGTTGGGAAGATCCCCTGGGGAAGGGAAAGGCTACCCACTCCAGTATTCTGGCCTGGAGTATTCTCCAGGACTATACAGTCCATGGGGTTGCAAAGAGTAATACAAAGTAAATGTTATTCTTTGGTTCAACTAACTACTTCCAGATACAGGTAAGATCCACATCTGACCCTCTATCCTTCACAGTAGCAGGGAATGGCTGGTTTTCACAGAAAATCTCTTAGAGCCTCTGCACTGGCTGTTCCCCATGCCGAGAATACTTTTCCTCAATGGCTCAACCTCCTTCTGGTCTTCATGCAGAACACTTCAGTCAGAACTATTTAAAACTGCAACATGGCCTCATCCACACTCCTGATCTCCCTTACTATTTTTTATTTTTTTTCCAGCTTCTAACAGACTACATGATTTATTTTAAATTTTATCGTATGATTTCTCCCATTAGAATGTGAACTTGCCACGACAGCATGGACTTCTCTTTTGTTGTTATTGCTTGTTTTATTCACTGATGTATGCCAAGCAGTTGGTATTGTAGACATTCAACAAATATCTGTTGAATAAATGAGTGGCTAAAACTTGAAGAAAATTGCATCCATTCTTGACTTTTTTTCTTCTCCTGGACAAATAACTGTCTGTTTTCATCTTTTTTCCATGGAGCTCCCATTTAACACTTTGAGGTCTTACTGGACTGAGTCTCAGTTCTCTATTCCCCTCAGCCTCTAGCCTCATGTGGGGTTTACAATTAAACACCTACACATCATCTCTTTCATTGTGGCCATAAATTATAGCAGAATAAAGGCAATATACAGCAAAAGGAATGAGTCATTCTAACAGCTGGCTTTTTGGGACAGCACAGGATGTGGAGAGATACAGAGCCGAGCGAGGGAAAGATGGGGGAAGAAATGAGCGAAATGGGTAAAAGAGGCAACAAACTTTTGCCCCTTGGACAGAAATTAGACAATGTCATGTCTGGAAGCAAGACAATGACTGGAAGCTTAAATGACTGTTCACAGGCCCTTTACAAGAGTAGAGACAGGCTTTGCCAAGGAGCACCTGTCATCTCAAAGGTCACCTCCCTGATATAAGCGTTCATCTTCTTGACAAAAGTTTTGCTTTGGCTTGATAAGACTGGAACGTCAACTTTGACCCTGCCTCATCTATATAAAAACAACCTGGAAAGCTAAGGAGAATTAGCTTTGTCCAAATCCTAAGAAATTTCCCTTTGGGGATGGTATTTCTTTACCTCTCTTCTATTCTTGGGGTTCCCCTGAGCACCATAAAGTTAAGGTGGTAAATACATGCTTACATGCCACCTGCTCATTTCCCCTAGGAGGTGACAGCCTTGCCCTGGCTATAATGATTCCTAGGAAACAGTCCCAAATGGTCACTTTGCCTATTTCCAGGCAACAGAAGGGACTGGCCTCATTTATTTTTGCTAATCTTCAGGTCTACAACCAGGCTCAAGGAGTTATGAGTTTGAGGGAGAAGGGCAGGCTAATTAGAAACAGGGAGGGGCCTTTCCCAACTGCCTATCCTGTTCTCACTGTGCTCACCATCACATCCACGGCAGACTATGTGCAAGACTCATCAGCAGCTCTGCTTCCAACACTCATTCAAACCCTGAACAAGAAAACTGAAGTTCCAGAGGGACTGTGGTTTTACATTAATGGTGTCGCCATCTTTTTGATCAAACCAAGGAACAGAAGAGTGACTTCACATCAGGGAGGATAACCCAAACCTTACGTAACACCTGGGTTCTTGTGAAATGGACTGCAATGTGAATTGTATTTACCCCTAAACATTCAAATAGCAAAGAGTTTCTCTTGGAACTTAGACTACAGTGAAATACATCAGACAGAGAAAGACAAATACTGTATGATATTACTTATGTGTGGAATCTAAAAAAGTAAAACAAACTATGAATATAGCAAAAAGGAAACAGACTTACAGATATAGAGAATAAACTGGTTACCAGTGGGGAGAAGGAAGTGGGTAGGGGCAAGATAGGAGTAGAGGAGTAAGAAGTAGAAACTATTTTACAAACTAGGAGTAAGAAGCATAAAATAAACAGGCAATGATATACTGTACAGCACAGGGAAATATAGCTAGTATTTTATAATAACTATAAATGGAATATAACCTGTAAAGTTGTGAATCACTATGTTGTAAACCTGTAACTTAAGTAATATTGTACACCAGCTATAACTCAATTTTTTAAAAACTTTAAAAATAACCAAAAAGAAATACTACTATATAAAAAATGTTTTTTAAATAAACAAAGCCTTTGATAAGGGGTGGAGCTAGACCTTAGCCCGGGAGCCCAACTCCCTTTTCCTATATGTTAATGTTCCTACATCTGGGGAAACGTTTCCTCAGATAAAATTCCATCAGACTTTCTACCACAGATTCTTTGATATGGGGCCATAGTAGTGGTCTGAAAGTTTCCTAATCTTTGTTTTCTTTTTATCAGCATGTTTTAAATTTCTAACAGACCTTGGTATAACCACACTTTGTCAGTAATATTTCAGCTGAAAATCCTTACAATCAGAGCCAAATGTCTCCTTGTTGATCAAGGCCACACTGTATAGACCGATGGTCACCTTTACTTAGAATGAATGATATCAATGGAAACAGTGTGGGGAATCCCTAATTCTCCCTAAACTTCCCAGGATCCCTGACCCTTGCCCACTGCACACACGTGCAGCAGGCTGGAGTCTGGGGAAGTACTTACATCCTGCCTCTCAGAGCCTTGGCTTTCTGTTCTTCTTCCAGATTTCTGGGAGGTGTGGGTGGGGTCATGCCTTCATTCAGGCAGCCTGTGGGGTCTTTCAAGCTCCCTCGGTAAGAGCCTCCTTCCAGACTCTGAAAAGAGAAGAACAAACAACCTTAAAGAAGTGTACATAGGAGAGTAGTCCGAAAATCCTCATGTCTCCCCAAACCTAGCCACAGCCATCTTGGTAGCTCAGTAACCAAGGCTGTCTGTACTGAACCTCAGGGAAGTACCAGGAGGCCAGACTCCCATCTTCCTGCAGCAGGGCACCCAGAGCTGCCGTCTTCTCAGGTAATCAGGATGTGCTTGGCATCAGGGGCTGCCAATTTCCCAGACATAATGGACACTGTCAAAGTGACTGATCTCTGGGTAAGAGCTCCAGAGGTAAAGCTAATTACTGCAATTCTACAAACAAGCAGCAAGGAAAGAAAGGACCACCAAGTGCAAATTAACAAGGGGAGGGAAGTGATGGGAGAATTCATTCGGTAAAATCATGTTTGTTAAATCAGCTACAATTTTCTTTGAAGAGACTAATGAGATGCAGACAAGAAGAGGTAAACAGATTTAGTGTTTTCTAAAAACATCTTTGCTAAGGTTATTTACCAAGGGCTTTCTTTCATTTATGAATCCCTTTAATCTCTTTTAATTAAGGTGCTGTAGGACTGAGAAACCAGTTAAAGAGCTTAATAAATATGTTACTCTAGAAAGAGCTAAGGGTAAAGGATCCTAATCCCAGACCTGCCAGTCCCTGGACAATCTTAAAAGAGCTAAATCTTGAGACAGCTAAAATCATTCCAAATTGATTTTTTCTCTACTTTCAAATTGGGTCTCTCCTTTTCACAGATTTTTAAGGGTCAGAGACAACAGGCACATAACCCCTTGAAAAATTTAAAATGCTCTACAATAGTGAGCTTCCCCCACTACCCCCATGGATGGAACTAACCAGGATGCTAAAAAAATGGGGTCAATCTTAACATTTTTATAAGCACTGTAGGAAAAACAGCACAGAATGACATGTCATTTCATTGTGCAAACTGGCAGAAACCATGTGGATAAACAAGCTGGAGACCAAGGTTATGGTGGGCAACTATAAAACAAATATGAGAGAGTAATCCAAACTATCCACACAAAACTACTGTCTAGTACAGCCACTTTGTGGGAAAAGGGAAGGCTTTACTTTCGCAGTCTTTGAAAGATCAAGAAGTGCCCCTAAAGGCAGTAGGAACAAAAGACTTTAGCGTCATCTTAAACAACCTGCACCTGGAGTGTCTATCATGAACTGGCTTAGCCGCAGTATTTCAACACAGGCTGAAGAGAGGTACGAAAAGTCCAGGTAATAAATGAAACAAAAAGTGAATGAGGTGACCAATGGGCCATTATATGAGAACAGGTGGGGGATATCAGAATTAGAGGCTGAAAAACTTAAAGCTGAGAAGAGATGTCAACCTTTTTTTCCTCTATTTCACCCTTAAATCAACAACCTGTGCCAGAGCCTAACATGAATTTGTTAACACTAGAACTCAGCATTAAGAGGACAGGGTCTTCAAGCTCAAGAGAGAGAATTTCTTTTAACTTGACATGAAGGTATTTCACAGAACAAATAACCAAACTTGGAAGCTGTCATCCAAGGAAGAAGCCTAGGCTAAATATGTAGAAAGGTCAAGAAAAGTTTAGCTAAATTTGTAGATTCAGGATCTGTAACCAGTGATTAAGGAAATGAGTATCTGGTGCTGAGGCTTGACAAGCCACCAGACAGACATGCTTTTCAACGACATGTGACATGTCCCCTGGTGCCATCACAGGAGACAGGCTCCCCAGGCAGATGAACCCAGCTGGTGATTGATCTGATTACATGCCTTTCACTTCCCCTCCCCTTGCCCACATTGTTTCATTTCAATCTTTGTTATGTAGCTTGTTTGCTGGCAGGATGCTGGCTGCAAGGCCTGGGAAATACGCTTATATCTCTGCTACAAGGCTCTCCCATGGACCATCCATCTTGGCATGGTCCACTCTCAACTCTTGTACAGAATGAAGGACATCTGAGGAGTCCAAAGTGTTACACAGGGAAATATGTTCTGTCTCTTCGTGCCTAACCTGTTATATGAGCAAAGAGCCAGGTTATCTCTGGGCAAGGACTCTCAGGCATGGAGTTGAGGAAGGCAGAGGCAGTGAGAGTGGAAGAAGAGAGAAATTTAGGGTTTGGCTAAAATGTGTGCTGTTTCTATCCCTGAGTTGGAAAAATTCCCTGGAGAAGGAAATGGCAACCCACTCCAGTACTCTTGCCTGGAGAATCCCATGGACAGAGGAGCTTGGTGGGCTACAGTTTATGGGGTTGCAAAGAGTCAGACATGACTTGGCAACTCAAACAACAACAACAACATGCTGGGTAATCTGTCTCAAATAATGGCATTGGCTAGAAATACTGTAACTAATTCAAGAGTGATTCCCTCTGAGGATCTGGCTACCTGTGCTAGAGTTGGGATATGGGGTCCCAGCCAAGGACCACTATAAGTGATCTTCAGTTGTCTGTCTGTGCTGCTCCTTGGGGGACATGGGCAGTGATGGCTGGTTGATGAGTGGTGGACTGTGCGGCCACAGGGAGGACTTCTGCCCTGTCTGGGGCTCAGGACCACAATAGTCTCAACAGAAAAAGGAAAAGATGTGCCAAGGAGGAAGCAACAAATGTTGCAAACGGGTGATCCTATGATTGGTGCCAGGTCAGTGAATAGAAATGCAAATACAATTCAAAAAAGTGGATTAAGTATGGAGGAAGACTATTGCCACAATGAAAATGAACACATTTCCTGTCAGCTTGACCTTGGACCACATGTCCATAAGATGCCCTTCCCTCTGGACTCCTATAAGCACCCTTTACATACCCTCTGAACAGCATTTATTACGGTGTTGTGACTGATTTGTTTATACTTAAGCAAATATTTATTGTGCTTCTACTATGTGCTGAATATTTGCAAAGTGCAGGAGAAATGAAGACAGATAACATATGGTTCCCTGCCCACCAAAATCTAAGCTACAATGGGTATTCTTCTAGACAGGAGGATACCACGGGGAAGATGAGAAAAAAGAGCAGGCAGCTCTAAGGTGGAGTAGAGAAGGAAGGGAATGGCTTAATGAAAGAGACAACTTGAACTGAGTAATGAGAAATAGAAAAGATTTCATTGGATACATCATTGGGAGGATCATCCAGGCAGGAGGAGAACAGTGAGTAAAGGATCGACTGAAGAAACCCCCTGGGGCAGCCTGGGAAGCGGAAAACCTGACGAAGGTAGGATAGGCTGTAAAGGGAGGAGAAGGGGAGTTAGCAAGTAACTGTGTGTTACCTGAGTTGGGGGAGTAGGAACCAGGGAAATAAGAAATAGGAAGTGAAATGGACAACCCTGGAGAAGGATGCAGAGATCAGATTACAAGGAGTCTTCTGTGTAGCAAAAAATCCAAACCACTATGCTGAACACCTGAAATTAATACAAGACTGTCAATCAACTATACTTCATTTTAAAAAAGAGTAGCAATAGCAACTTCCATGACCAATGAGAGGAGAATTTTATGTAGGGAAGTAACGCAATTGGATTAAGTTTAAGAAAGATTTGTCTTAATACTCCTAAGAGCTCTTCATGACTTGGGAAAATGTCAGTAAAGGAAAACAGGACTTAAGATTTATATACTCTATGATTAACTACATTATTTTTAAAATATCTGAATTTCAATACTGACTATGTTTAGATGATGATATTATGGGGTATAATTGTGCTTAAAATCTTGTCATTTTCCCAATTTTTCTTGAACGAGCATATAATGTTTTAATTATTCAGAAAAGAATAAAAGTTTTTTTAAAAGGAAAAATGAAAGAAAAGTAAGATTCCCCCCATCAGACATGCAAAGAGACATCAGACTGAAACTAAGGAGGAAATGGTTGCAGCAGCCCAGACAGGAGAGGATTTCTGAGCATCACCCCTAGACTGTGAGCTCCACTAAGGAAGGTTCTATGCTAGTAGGAAGGGCATAGAGTAGGAATCCAAGAATTTACTGAATGAAACTCTTGGGTAAAGGTCAAAGTTCATCTGATAAACCAAACAACGGACAAGAGTGCTGATCCAGCACCACCTACCACAACCAACCTTTTAGCTGTCCTACCCTTTTATACAAATAAGTATGAAATACCTTGACAAAAAATATTATGATCTTAGTCACTCCCAGGCAAACTAGGGGCAAGGGTAGGGAAGACATTTTAAAGTAGAAAAGCTGAAGTCTGGATTTTCCAGGCAAATGACATTACACGTTTGCGACTTCAGATTAAATTTTTTTGGTGGAAATCTAAACTATTCTATTTTAACAAGCTCAGGAATCTTTCCACAGAAGGATGCCAGAGGAACTCAGTTCTTGAAAGCACACATTTTCATAATGGATATGATGAAGCCATTATTTCCTCTCATCTGGACTGTTAACTCTACTGTACCTTTGACAAAGCAAGCTGATTTATCTAAAGGAGAGCAAAGCATACACATAAATGCAGCCTGGCCCTAGTTACGTTCTGTAGCTCACAGACTGACCTAGGGAGGTGAATACTATCAAAGTAGAAGAACCAGAGGGCAGGAAGTCTTTTTTTTGTTTGTTTAATTGTCTTTAATTTTTTTTCCCATTGATTTTTTTTTTCCCATTGATTTTTATTAGTTGGAGGCCAATTACTTTTCAATATTGTAGTGGTTTTTGCCATACATTGACATGGATTTACATGTGTTCCCCATCCCGATCCCCCCTCCCACCTCCATCTCCATCCCATCCATCTGGGTCTTCCCAGTGTACCAGCTGAAGCAGGTCGGGCCAATTCTCAGGGTGTCAGGCCACCAGGTAGACTGAACAAGAGCTCAGTCCTGGCCAGCCTCCTCCCTAAAGATGGAGGGTTTTCAGCCAAGGGTCCACCAGCGCCACTGTGAGCCCAGTGAGCTACTGTGACAATGCCACCCGAGGACAGGAGTTCAGCGAGGAGGCTTTCCTTCTTGAGGCCTAGGTGGGTCAGATGGTAAAGAATCTGCTTGCAATGTGGGAGACCCAGGTTTGATCCCTGGGTGGGGAAGAT